AGCTGGCGGGCAAGCCTGGGCCAGCCACGATTGAAAACACTTGCCCATTCGTCTTGGCCGGGCAGCAGGCCTTAGTGCGGAGCTTGGCAGGTCAACACTGCAGAGTAGACCTCTCAATATTGGACCCAACCCGAAACCAGATCCAACCCGACCCGTAATTTTCGGGTTTGGGTTGAAGCCGAACCCGAAAGCGGGTCGGGTTCGGGTCCGGAAAATGGAACCCGTTTGCAAAAACGGGTCGGGTTCGTGTTGACCCGACGGTGCTGGGTCAACCCGAAAAACCAGTTTATTTCAAATTCTCTCGGCAGCCCTTCCATTCCGCTGCGCCCCGTCGCTGCCCCGATTCCCCCTGCCCCTAAAGCCCCCGGCTGCCGCCGGCGCTTTCGCTGCCACCCCGCGGCCCGACAGGCTCCGCTTCGCCAGCTCCGCACTGAGTGCCCGCTGCTCGCCAGACAACGCTTCCGTCCGCGCAGGCGGCGACGCCGGCGAGGCCAGTTCCTCCGTTCCCGCTCGCCCGCTAGCTCCTCTGTCCAGAGACAGCGAAGGCGCGCCGCGTGCAGTGTCCCGAGACGGCGGAGACTCCCGAAGCGCGAGGCCAGGCCAGCTGTTACGCGTTTCCATCCCGAGCGCAAGGCCGAGCGGCGAGCCAGGCCAGTTTCGCGTTCCATCCCGAGGCGGCTACGCGGGTCGGGTCGGGTTGACCCGTACCCAAAGCGGTCGGTCGGGTCCAGAAAATTGACATTTTGCAAACCGGGTCGGGTCAACCCGAACCCGAATAATACGGGTCAGTTTCGGTTCGGGTCAACCCGACCCCGTAACCAGAAATTATAGGTTCTACTAGCGAGCGGCAGCGCCGGGCCTGCGGGCAGCGAATCGGGCAGCGCGGGGCAGCGAGCTGCGGCAGAGAAATTTGATTTTTTTAAAAATAAAGGGTTTTTCGGGTTGACCCGGCAACCCGTCGGGTCAACCCAAAACCTGACGCCGTTTTTGCAAACGGGTCGGTTTTTCCGGACCCAAACCCGGACCCGCTTTCAGGTTCGGGCAACCCAAACCCGAAAATTTCAGGTCGGGTTCGGGTCGGGATCCAATATTGACAGGTCTAAATGTTTCATCTTTGATAGGGTTGAAGTGACTTGATGGGTGTCTCACTTGGAGCGTGAGTCCGAGTTGAGTGTTTTGTGTGAACCCTTGGCTCTTAATGTTGGGGGCAACTCCCATTTATTACTTTATAGAGATAGGAAATTTATCCTTGGGTGACTCTCATGGTGAGTTCTATGAGATACGGGTTTCACCAACTATGGCTCCCCAGACATTTGAAAATTTGAAAATGACTTGTAAGTGTATATTTAGTTCCTGATTCACACGTTCTATTTAGAGGGTAAGTGGTAAAATGACAAATGAATTAATGGCAGATAAAGGATGTCAAATAGTATGAAGAATGAAAAATGTAACGTATTGTCCTATATTTTTATGGTAGTCTCCCCTATCAATGGAATTATCATGTAATAAGTTATGTGAAGTCACTCGCATTTACTCTTATAAGTAGTCCCGCTTGAGGCTTCACTTCTTTCGGACATATAAAGTTAAACCCGCCCTTGCGCAAATTGAAACTTATTCACTACAAGTGCAATGCACATGTTGATTACCAATTATTAGATTTGAATAATAATATCATTTAGAAATATTTGTGCTGTAGTTAAAATTAAAAATTCCATTTGTAAAAACCATCATAATGTTTAATTACTTACATTCTCCTATTTCATTGAGTATTTAGAATACTTTAAAGAATTAAGTTTTATTATATACCAATTTCTGAAGTACTCATCTTTCTTTTTCTTTTTTTCTTTTTTTCATTTGTTTTCATTTTCATATATTTCATATTTTTTAATTTGAGTACATAATAATAATTTTAAATATCCATTTTGCTTTCTTCCTTCAAGTAATCCTAAATTGGATTAGTGTTAAGATGTTTAATAGCTGATTAATAATATTTAAGTTTAACAGTGATTTATCAATCTTAAATCTAACACACTCACTTTCTCTAAACTCAAATTATCCAAAATTTATTTTAAATCTTAGTCACACTAGGTTTATAACATTTAAGTTAAAAGCAAGATAATAACTAGATGATTTTTTTTAGTTAATTATTATGATTTTTAAATTACTGATTCTATTATTCATCCAAATTATCAACCTATAGTTTAGTATTAATTCTTATTTTTAAATATAATTTATTATTATTATTTTTGGCTAAATGAGACAATCAAAGTACAAGCATTGTGGGAGGAATATTTTTAACATCTAAGCAATTATGGGGTTTTTAACTTAAATGTAAATTGAACTAAAAATAGTAAGTAAAAACAACTTAATACCCGTAATATAAAAGAATAGAAGTTGGATAGAAACAAAAAAATGTCTTTTCATTTAAAATGATACAAGGCCATAAGGCAATAAGATACAAAAATAAACTCGAAATATATAGTTGCATAGTGCCACTATCCTTGATCAATTCTACCAATGGAAACCAACACTGCATTCTCAATATCATGATCATACATAGCTCTCACCACAAGCATTTCAAATGACCATGAGATCTCCCCCAAGCACAAAAAAAAAATGCTAAATTAAAGAAAATAAAAAGAATAACTAACCCATTAGGGTGTCAATATTTAACACGGACTTGAAAAACTCGACTCGAAAAAAATTTCCGGGTTCGTGATGACCCAATACCCGAATCAAGGCCGGTTGCCGTAATATTTTCGACGCCGTTGTTAAAATCGGGAGGATTCGGGTTGAACGCAGGAAACCCGGAATGACCCGGAATGCCCGCGATGCCTACACCTAACCGAAGCTTGCCTACTATGACCACAGCTTTGCCCGCGTCGTGTCCCAGGTGGCTTCCAGTCCTTTCCCGCATACTGCGTTGAGTGTCCTAAAGGGTGTGTCCTGACAGTCTAAGCAAACCAACTCTAGTTGTCTGTGTCATCTCGTCAGCATCGCTTCCCGAGCCTTACGCTTCTATACACCACTGCCACAATGCTGCTTCTATTACTTCCGACCACATCGTGTCAACACAGTTTGTGCTTAGTTCCAACCCCACTATCACTCTACACGACTAGATGCGACCACCGTGTCACATTAGTATGGTCATCCCAGCTGTTTCGAAACCCAAAGCATAATCCGGCTCTGCGGGGTCATGTTAGGTTGGACCCAAACTTGAAGAGGGTTCAGGTTCGTGTCCTTAAAAATTTGACTTCGTTTGTAAAAACAGGTCGGATTCGGGTAGACCCGAATATTGTCAATGCCAGTTTCGGGTTCGAACTCGAACCGACCCATGAACCAAAACTGACACCCCAACTAACCATAAAACTCTCTCTCTCTCTCTCCTCTCTCTTCTCTCTCTCTCATCTCTCTCTCTCTCCTCTCCCTCCCTCCTTCTCCAAGCACAACCAAGAGAAACTTTGACAAAATAAAGAAAAACAATCATCACTAAGAGTCTCTATCCTCCTCATGCTCATCCTCAATCCATCATCCATAAAAGGGTAACAAATGAAGGGCATACATATGGGGAATTAGGATAAATGAAGTTAATTCTGGATTTTCAATGAAGTGGCTCTTCTTTAAACATTCCCACTTATCTTCATGAACTTGAGAAGTATTAATGTGGTTTATTTCTTCTACATTATCAAGCTAATGTTTCCTACCAACTCCTACTCCTCATCACACATAAAAATTAGAATTCTATCTCATTTGCATCTTCGTAAATTAGCCACCTACTCACCAAAAATATCAAGGGGATTAGGATCGACCGATACTAGTACTATTGTGGGCTTGACATACTAGATGGGGCCTCACTACGTCTGGCTTTCCTCCTCTAATATCAATCATTTTAAAACCCTTATTTTGTCTGATATTGAGAGTTGATTA